CCTTAGTTACTGAAGCAGAGCTGCCTCTTGCGATGCTCAATTTCAATGTAGTCTGTTTCTTTGGAATGTATTCATTTCCTCTTAGATTTTTCCCCAGTGAAGTTTGGCTCACCTTCTAGAATTTCCCATTTCCTTTAACTAAAAGGATAAAAATAAAAAAGTAAATAATAGAGTGGAGATTGAGATAAAAGAGGGCATAACAGATTTGACTGATTCTGTTCTGTTATGTCACATTTGGTTTTACTCTCTTCCAAAAAAGTAATAAGAACCGTGGGAGCAATGAAACCCAAAATGTGTAATAGTCACTGTACAAAAGAGAGGAAAAGAAAGTGCTCTAAACTATATAACTGCATGTATATTTAAGTGTATAAGATAGAAAATGATATCGCAGAATTTTATTGGATCATTGAACAGAACTGTTTGCAGTATCATTGTTGGAATGTCCACTTTACAAGCTTTAAATTTGTGACTTGAACAATTATTTCTAAGATGACAATGTGTAATCCATTAACTAGTGATTTCCTACTGTTTATTTATTTTTTCTGTAAATCTGTATAACTTGTACCCTTTCTCTGCTTTTTTTTTCTCCTTAAATAAAATTAAAAAAAAAAAAAGAATTTCCCATTTCCTTTTGCACTGAGCTGTGGGGACTGTCAGTGACTCTTCAGTTGGTGTTTGTATTAGTTTCCTGTTGTTGCTATTATAAATTACTGCAAGCTTGGTATGGTTTAGATCTAAAATGTCTCCCAAAAATCTCATGTACTCAGAAATGGGCTTTTGGAAGATGATTGTATCAAGGGGGACCCTGTACTCATTGGTGATAAGTTCCATGGCTGAATGTGCTATTAAGAGCTGGGGAACCATGAAGGAAAATATTTGCCCATGTTCAGTCATGCAGGCATTCTAATGCCACAGTAGTCATGGCCTAAGAGGACCAGGCTACTGCTTGAACTGGGGCAGATCTTGAGATCATGGTTTTATAGGCATGCATAATGCAAGAGTTATGAGGTCATGGAGGCTCTCAGATTTCAGAAGGCCTGGGAGGCCAACGAGGATGCCCCAAAGAAGGCAGTGTGTGAAGCTGTGGCAGTGAAGCTAAAAGTACTGTGGAGATCCTCAGAAGTTAGGGATGCTGGAAACATGGAATATCTATTGCGGAAAGCTCCAGACACTGACTAAGGCCACCCAAAGAGAGACGCCATGAAAGCTGCAATAGGCAATAGGGGTGGGGCTGCCCAGGTCCTGTGGAGCTCACGTCTCACTGCAGATTGCCCCACGTGTTGGACATGAAGCTACGAGATGTGCTGTTTTGCTTGATGGAGTTTTGTCTTGCTTTGGTTCAATTCCTTTCTTTTGGAATGGAAATGATTACCCTGTGCCATTGTATGGTAGAAGTATTTAACTCTCTTTTTGACTTTTTTTTTTTTTACAGGGTTCACAATTAAAAGTTTGTCTAGAATTTCAGAGACGACTTTGGACTTTTCAGCAATGCTGGAATTGTTAAGAATTTGGCGACTCTTAGAGATGGACATAAATCTTCTGGGTCCCACAGGCAGAATGTTATGGTTCAGATTAAGATGCTCCTCTAAAAGTCTCATGTATTGAGGTGGGGCTTCTAAAAACTGATTGGACCGTGGGGGGTATAAGGAAAAGTGGTTTCTAGACAGGGAAAAGGTAGGCTTTATTAAAAAATTAATAGGGAAGCTTACTAAAAACAGCTTTTTTCTCTACAATTAGACTCTATAGTTAGTACAATTAGAAAGACAGAGAAAGAGAGAGGAGCTAGACCCAGAGAGGTGCCAGGTAATGCAATTACCCTAAGAATTTATCAGAATGTTACCAAAGCAGAGAGGAAGCCAAAAACATAAAGATCAGGGTAACCAACCCCTTCATTCCCTGTGATAGAATGCAAAGGAGACAAGGGGAAACCACCTAAGGATTCTCACTTAATATGTAAAAGACACACACCTATACATGCACACATAGATGTACACTCTCACTTTAACATCATTATATTATTCTACCACATACACATATATTCCTTTGCTTAATCATTAAGTCTGAGCTATCTTTTCATAATGCTTGCATGTGCGCGCGTGCGCGCGCGCGCACACACACACACACACACACACACACATACACTTGTCCATCGCAAAGGGATAGGAAGGAATCAAATGGCCAAAAAGATTGCATTCAGAGGTACCCAGGTTAGGGTTAAAGGCATCCAGCGGACCAATTGGATGGCGAAAACTTCTGGGTACCCACATAGGGGATAGGAAGAATCACTAGTCCTAAATAAAAGGAGCCAGGGCCAAGAACTTGTGAGTATTTGCTTTTCTGATGCTCCCTGTTCTTCTAGAGAAGCCGTCAATCTTCCCCTTTCCTACCTTTTCCCAAATAAATCATCTTCCTTTATTTAAAACTGCACCTCTTTAATTTCTTACTGGTGCTGAGAGTTTACGATTTTGGTAGCTGCGAGTTCCAGACAAGAAGCAGTGTGTATATCCCCACCCTGACACCACAGGCGCTGTACTCACCAGTGGATCCATCTATTGAAGAGTGCAGTAGTAGCCGAGTGTGCTGTTGGAGTTGGCTCACTGGGGGTGTGACCTGGGAGGATGCATTCTTTCCCTGGCTTTTCTCTCTCTCTGCTTTTGGGCTGCCGTAGGTTGAACAGTTTTTCTCCACTGGCTCTTGTGTCGTGCCATTTCTGCTGTAGGGCCAGCTGACCATGGCCTGAAATCATGAGCCAAAATACATCTCTCCTTCTCTAAGCTGTGGGTGTTAGGTGTTTTTCCCGAGCAATGGAAAAGTGGCTAAGACATTTGGTATCTTAACACATATTTTGTCTCTTAAACTTCTGGGGATCAGAAGTCTGAAAGCAGTTTCAATGGGCTACACTCCCTCTGGAGGCTCTAGGAAGAAACATTTCCTTGCCTTTTCTAGCTTCTAGAGCTGCATTCTTGCACCTCATTGTCTCTTCCTCCATTTTCAAAGCCAGGAGGATAGCATTTTGCATCAGTTGTCTTGCTGCCACCTTCTTTTCTATCACCAAATTTCCGTCTGCTTCCTTTAAAAAGACACATGTCTACCTATAAGGCCTGACCTATTAATTGCTTCAACTTAAGATACTAATTCAATCCCATCTGTAAAATGCCTTTTGCCACATGAGGTAATATTTGTATGTTTTTTTTTTGTTTTTGTCTTTTTCATTTTTATCGGTACCAGGGATCGAACTCACGACCGCCTGCTTGCAAGGCAGGTGCTTATGCCGTTGAGCTAAATCCCCAGCCCCCTATTTGTATGTTCTTGAGATTAGAGTGCAATCATCTTGGGGGACATTGCTCAGCCTACTACAGTTATCTATACTTTGTCCTTGGCCTAGGGATCATCCATTTCCTCACAGCCTATTTCCTTAGAATATAGTTGTGCATCTTTTCTCAAATCTATGATTGAACCTTCTATGCTATCCCAACACCCCACTATGCTTTCTTTGGGCCTTGGTACTATTCTGAAATGAGGTCATCCAATGGAACTTTCTGTCAGGATGGACAGCTCTACATTTTCACTGTCCAACATGGTAGCCACTACTACCCATAGCTGTCAAGCATTTAGACATAACTAGTATGACTGAGAAAGGGGATTTTAAATTGAATTAAATCTAAATAGACACTCTGGATAGTAGTTAATGTATCAGCAGCTGAGATCTAAACAAATGAAACAAAAACTGAGACCAAGCAGGTTCTTTGCTGCTTGCTTCTCCTCACATCTGTTTTGAATCAGGTACGTCCCTCATCTTCTTCTCTCTGTGACTGAAGAATCTAAAGGATCCCAGGGGACTCTGGAGGGATGAGGTGGCTGAGGGCAGGATAAGGAAGGGAATGGTGTCTGTTGGTCCTGAGAAGTAGCAGGTCCCATTTCTGCTTTTGCATAGAACTAGGGGCCCTCAAATAATTTTCAAGGTAGTCTCCTTCTTACTTATCTTACTCAATGAATCTTCCAGGGACTACAAAAACATGACCAGGGACAGAACCACAGAAGTGTGTCACTAAAGAAGGTACACAGGAAACAGCATTAAACTGAGGGTTGATTCTAGCTGGAGCTCTGCTCTGCCACACAATTGGTGAATGGCATTTGGTAAGTTATTTCCAAGCCTTTGGACCTCAGTTTCTATCAAAATGAGAAGACTGGACTGGATAATCTAAGGGTTTCTCCTGGCTGTTATGGATTATGATTCTGTTTTCCAGAGTTGAAGCTTCATTGTACATTTAATTCCCCTCAGAGCTGCTTTCTTTCTGACCCACAAATATTAACTCTGATTAAAAATTACTAAATAGCTATGGCTTTAGGTTAGTCTCACAACACTTCTGGATCAAACCAAATGCCCTAGTTTCTGTCCACATGATAACACTTCACATCTTCTTTGAACTTAAACAATGACTCAGAAAAGATAGATGCTGAGGCTCAGAAAGGGAGGCTAAGAATCTTCCAGGGACTCTTGTCCCGGATTCTCTACACATAACCTCATAGCAGTCCTTCTGAGTAGGAAATATTATCCCCACTAAGGAGAAGACCATTTTGAAAACTGAAGTTATAAAGGCAAGATGACTTTCCTATTACTCTGATAAAAAAAATGCATTTACTTTTCTGACACTGAACCACTTCCTTTTCACCTTATAATGTTCTGTGACCCATTGACAGTTTTCCCATGAGATGTTAGATAGGTAACCCCTTTCATGGATACAGTCATCCTTTGATGGTGCTCTCCAAGCAGATCTCAGCAAGTCCCATCACCTCTCTGCCTTTATTTCTTTATCAAGAGCATCAGCATTTACTTCACAAGGGCATTAAAATTCGTGTTGAAAGTGTTATATGAGATCATGTATTAAGAGCACCAGTTAACTACTCCTTCTTACTGCTTTTGGAAACTGTAATTTTTCCATACTAAGAGAATCGGCCGCTTTCTTTCCACCCAAATCAAATTAAAATCACACAGAATGTTTACATTTCAAAAAAGTTTTATTATGAAAATGTGTGGGATTAATTGCAGCATCCATGTATCCACAATAGTAGAGAAACAGCTATGATAGACCGTCCCCATGGGAGACATGTGTCCTTTGGTCAAACATAAATAATACAAATAATACTGACTCCAATAACAAAGCTCCAATAACAAAGCACATACTAAAGATTAAATTAGGAGAAAAGGCAGGAACTACTGAGAGGCGTTGTGGAGAATAAGGTGCATCTCACTGAGAAGCGTCAGGACTCAGGTGACCTTCCTTGAAGACATCATTCCTCGTTCAGCTCTAGGTATTCCACATACTCTTGAACCCAGGAATCACTGGGGTTGGCACAGACTTGCTTGCCCCTTTTGGTTTGGAATCTGTAGAGCAAGAAATAGATTAGACTCTCATGGAACTTTTGAAATCATCTGCTACTCTTCCTTACCAATCTTAGCCATCTGCTTTTCTTTGACCATAGATCATGTTTGACAGCTCTAGTGAATGGGACCCTTCCTGGGTAGCACTGAAACCAGGCTCCCTCAACTTCCACCTCTGGATTTAGCTATGGCCCCAGAGTTTTCCCAGATTAGGAACCAATGAGTCTTGTAATCCATAGGAATTTATTTCCCCATTCCCTACCACTGCTAACTGATTATAAGTTTTCTAGCACAGCTTGAAAGATCTGCCCATATTTCACACAATCTTTTTTACTTTTCCTGATTTCCTGTCCTCTAGCTAGCATCCTCTCCAAGAACCCTCTTCTTCTCTTTTGCCACCAATTCAGCCTCTTTCAGGACTCAAAACAGTGACCTCATAATCTGTACCCTTACTGCCCTTGGCATTTACAGTCCTGAGAACCACTTGTCCTTTTCTTGATCACCTTCTACCCCAGCTGGCCTCTTTTAGCTCTTGCCTTCACCTTTCCTACCAGAGCATCCCGGGGTTGATACTCACACCACAGCTGGCTGGGAGCAGAGGCTGCTGGTTTCATAGTAATCAGTCACAAAGTTTCGAGGAAGCTTCCGCTGGGTGTAAGTGAAGCAGCAGGCTGTGGGAGGGTCTGAGCCAACTGGAAGGAAAAGTCAGGGTGAGATCAAAACTCTGCATGGGAGCTATTCATACTGGCTTCTAGGTGTGGATCTTCATTGAACCTCTCTGGGACACTAATATGGTTCCTTGTAACCCAAGCCCACCTATCTAAGTAGAGTATCCTCAGAGAAGATAAGAAATAGTGCTACAATACTAGAACTGGATTGAGTCTCAGAACATATCATTGTCTTCATGTTATAGATAGGAAACTAGGTACAGAGAGAGGCAAGCTTGAACCAGTAATCAGAGATAGATTCAATTCAATAGTTTGACTTCTAACCCATCCTTTCCCCCTATTGGCTGGTCATCCCAAGCAAGTGAAAGTTTGAATATTATTGAATGTGTGCTAGACTCTGCCTTTAACAGAACACTACTTGGAAATCTTCCAGGCTCCCATTTGGTTTCTTCCTGGATCCTGCTGTTGGACTAACTCCTCAAGAGAGAAGTGGACTCTGCCTATCTCTTAACTATAGAAATGACAGGGCAAGGTTGGACTTACTTGGTGCAGAAAGCACTGGAGAGCAGAAGGCAGCCCCAATCACAAGGAGAGAGAGGACAGTCACGTAGAATTTCATGGTCCAGGTAGAGCCAAGAATGCAGAGTTCAGAAGCTTAGTGGAGCTGAGACTGCAGAGCTCAGAAGCTTCAGAGCCCTTGTCTGCTGCTGATTTGAGTTTGGAATCCCTTTTTATAGAGACTCTGAAGCCTAGGACTGAGGTTAGAGCACAGAAAAATGAGGGGGAATTTCCATGGTAGCAATGATATCATGGTACTAATAAGGAAAGTTCAGCTAGCTGAAAGCAAAATGTTCCTTAGAGTTTCTCTTCCTCAGAACGATGTCATCATGGAAGAAAAAGAAGAGAGCCTCCGTGGAGAAGTGGGCTGTGCCTTAGAGGGAAGTGGTATACCAATGACAGAGACTGGGGTGACAACTGCTAATCTGAGAGGAAATGTGAGATGCTCTCCCCTGCTAGACAGGGCTAGTGGAAGAGAACCAAAATGCTCTGGGTGGTTAGCACTGTCAGAACCTGGAGGCTTCATGTCAGTCTTTGCAGGTTATCTGTAGCCTCCAGAACAACAATAAAGGGTGACCACAGAGAGGAACCATTGACCACTATGGGTCCTTCCGAACACAAAGACCCATCTAATCGGACTTCATTCAGGAAAGAGGTTGGGTTAGCTTCTCCTAGAGCAGAGTGGGAATGGAAAATAAAGATTTCAGAGTATTTTCTTGAGCTGATAAGGAAATAAGAAGAAAAAAATCAGCAAGAACCAAGTGAGGAAAACTCGAAACAGAAAATGTTTTTCTATATACAAATAAGATTGACTACCTAGAGATGAATGTAGCTATGGTATGGACAGAATATGGGTGTTTCCCAACCACTCCGTAGGGAATGCATCATGCCCCTGTCAATCCCTGGCTGGTTTCACAGCTGCTGGTGGTTTATGTAGGAAGTATATTTTACCGAGGCCAGGGCCATAGTTGTATATGAAATAGGGAAAATGAGGGAAATTCAGATGATTGGACCAAAATTTTCCCCACCTTTACTTCAACTATTCTAATCCTTCTGCTCACCCTAATCCCCATATTTGAACCTACTCTGCTCTGAGATAGACAATAGAAGAGTGAAAAGAGAGATTCAGTCCTCCTGGATGCTTTCAAGCTGTGAAATTGGAGGGATCAGTGAAGCATCATAGGGCACTTCATGGACAGTTGATAAAGTACAAGGTCATCCTACCTCACCACACACACACACACACACACACACACACACACACACACACACGCACACACACTGTACTGCGTCTTTCCTCTGTTCTTTCTGCCTTCACCCTTTTATCTATACAGGATTTGCTTCAATTCAGATCTTCCCCAAGATCCTTATGTTTAGCTTTAAAGTTCTATCACCCCTGGTAGTACATATGCTGGTCTGTTATGCCAGTTTCATCTGCATGCCTCAAGGCCACGGCTTTAAGCAGAGGAGGGTGTGTCTTATGTCCCCAGGTTCACACGGACTTTGTTACCCATGGCATTTCAACTCAGTCCAACTTTCTAGTCCTCTGTTGTTTGTCAAGGCAGATACAGCTGAATGAAGCCTTCCCTCTAAGGAGACCTTAGTCTAGTGATGTGTTGAGAGCAACAGAAATAACTGCCTTATGAAGTAGAATAAGCCAGTGGTAGAAACAAAGTATTGGGGAATGAAGCATGCTAGTGATAGAAACAAAGCGTTAGGGAATCTGAGGATGAAGCAAGTTATCCCTCAGCTGCAAATTGGTAGCTCTGAGTTAATTCTAAGTCCACTGCATGCTAAGGAGACTCCATTTCAATGAGCCACAAGTGCAGATTTCCAGTCTCCTGAGTAATGGTGAAGACATCTGCCTAGGATATCAGGAGAATGACAGACCTGAATGGTTAATTCATTTGTAAAGTGAGAGTTTCAATCTGAAGAAAGGCTCTCCAGAGAAGAGTGAAGAAGAATTCTAAAAGATCAGAACTAAATTGTCTCAGGTTTGCCTTCATGATCTACATAGGGGAAATCAAAGCATGGACAGGCATAAGGACTTGCTTAAACAAGTAATTAGATGCAGAGTCAATCAAAGATCTGATTTCCTTTTCATTTAATTTTTTTTGGTGATAGTGAGAATAAATCTTGGGTCTTCACTCTGGGTTATCACTGGCCCTTCCAATTTTTTATTTTATTGTATTTTAAGATGGGTCTCATTAAGTCACTAAATTTCTCAGACTGGACTTCAACTTGTGATCTTCCAGCTTCAGTCTTTCAGAGTTCTGGGGTTAGATGTGTGGACGATCACACCAGGCTTAGTTATTAATTTTTATGCAAACAAGAACTTAAATATTATTGACTGTCTACTCGACACATAAGGTATCTCTGATGGTAATGTTCTCTCAGAAGAGATCACAGAACTGTTGAGGAAATGGAGGCATCAATATATACAATGTCCTGGCCTCTTTTAGAGCAGTGTTGAGCTTTGGGAATGTTGAGGAGACCACTGGGTGTCAGAGCCAAGCACATCAGCCCAAGGAGCTGGGTTGTCTTGACCCAGAGAATCATGTGCAGGAGAATGTTGAGACTAGAAAGCCAAAGTGAGCTGGACATACAGTTGTTACATCAAGAGCAGAAGCCAAGAAGAGGCTTTCTAGTATGGTGTCTAAGTTACTTTGGAAAAATGGGAGCAGAAAGAGGCATTATGGGAGCCACTATTGTTTTCCTATTATCTTGGTTTGAAGTCCTGTATTGCTTTCATTGTTTTGTTTGATTGGTTTTATTCTACTCTGTTTTGTTTGATGTTATTATGCCTGATGGTATGGGCAGTTATTTTGAAGATAACAAGAGGCATTATGGTAGCCATTATTGATTTCCTTTTATCTTGTTTTGAAGTCATGTACCACATTCATTGTTTTGCTTTGATTGACTCTATTCTGCTTTATTTCATTTGGCTTTATTCTCTTAAAAATAAAAAAATAAAAATGGGAGCAGAAATTGAATTATGAATTGAAAAGATGAGCACGCAGTTATTCAGAGTGGATGGAGATCATAGTACCATGAGCCAGCTGAAGATCATCAGGGACTGCCCCACTGTGACCACCAACCCAGCCAGCTTCCTTCTCTTAAAGCCTTTGCTTTGACTATGAAGATGAAAAGCAGTGATTTTAGAAAATGCTAAATTTCTACAAAAAGCACAAGCCTCATTGATATTTGGTGGGTTCAAGAAAGTTTTCAGGATTCCTTATAAAACATCTTCCTGTGAATAGTGCTTTTATCTTGTTTCTATCCTCTTTTCACTCAGGTTATAGGCAGTGCTTAAGCAAGAGAAGAAAAATAATAGTGCAAAACTTTATTGAATAGCTACTATGTGACAGGCACTGTGTCAGATATTTGGGGGTTCATGCTTTTAGATACTCGTAGCGAAGAGTCAAAAAAGACTTCCAAAAGATGTGAGGCTTGAATGCTTTAAAAAGTATATTAGTTTGTTTCTCTTTGTAGAAGGTATACATAGCCAGCATCTATTAAGAATACCTAAGAAGTCATAAATAAATAATAAAATTAGTCTATCATTCTATATCTTCTTTTATATTTTACTCTTAGGATTTAATATTCTTTCTTGAATTAATATGTCATAGTTTGTTACTTAATATTGTCCCATGCTACTAAAAACTCAAACATTACTCAAAAATAGAATTAATTAATGAATGCATGGTATTTCTTTGCATGAATATATCAAATTTGTATTTAACCATTCTGCTATTTAGATCAATCCATTTAAACTACTCTAAACTTTTCCCTATTGTAAGTTGAACACTGATTTGAAAGATGATTGGCTAGGCAGAGAGTGTGGGGGTCAATTATTCAGGCAAAAACCCACAGTCTTACACATTTAAAAATTATAAATTACAGATATTGTGTTTTACCTCATGTTGGATGACTCAGACTATCATAATGTACTGTTTTCCAAAAAAAAATCTAGAAAAAAGGATTTTGAATATCTTCATCACAAAGAAATAGTAAATAAGGAGGTGAGTATATTTATTGTATCATAATTTGAACACTACACAGTGTATATATGTATCAGAACAGCACATGGTAGCTGGCTGTGGTGGGACACACCTACAATCCCAGGACTTGGGAATCTGAGGCAGGAAGATCACTGAGAATGCAATCCCAGCATAGGCTACCTAATGAGTTCAACAACACTCTGAACTACATACATAGTAAGACTATGAGAAGGAGAACAAAAAATATCACGTGGCAACCGTAAATTTGTAAAATTTTTATGTGTTGATTTAAAAATTTTAGCCAAAATTTTAAAAATTTAAATGATAGTGATATTAGTAACCAATGCTCAAGACTGCACTTATTATGAGCAAGTAATGTTTTAGGGCTTTCATAGGTCCTATTGTATTTAATTCTCATAGGGGCCCATTGAAGTAGGTATTGTCACTCCCTCATTTTATATATGAGGACACTCAAACACAGAGGGGTAAGAGACTCATAGAGGAACAAACCTCTCATATACAATAGCTTCAGAAATAAAACCAGCAAGTCTTGCTATAGAGGGTAAAGAAATTACAAAGGGAAATGTACTTTATTATAAACTTACTTAACAGCCAAAGTCTCGTTATTACAACACAAAATGTCTTTAGGTTTTGCATTTCCCATGATTTTGGAAGGCAGAATCCATGGACTTCTCTTTTTCTTAAAAAATGTGGGGAATTAAATAGTGGTTTTCATTATTTGTTTAAACTCTTAATCCCTGAAACTGCCACGGCACGTGTTCATGCCTAGCGTGTTTCAGTTGTGCCTTGTGGTTTGCAAACTGGGAAAATTTCTTTGCCAAGTTGATACCTCAGTGTAAAAACAGGAAAGAGATTTGTTCATTTATGGAACTGGAGTAAGTTCAGAAAAGCTGAGTCTTGGTTTTCAGGAAGTCTAAAGGAGGCAAGTTGTGAAGCCAAAGAAATTGGTGGGGGAGGGATGCTCAGGTCACAGCAAGGGTCACGTGATAGGGAAGCTTCTATTTCCTTCTGAAAACAATGCAGAAGATTTGAAGAACATCAACAGAGGGAGACAGGAACTGATTCATACTCTAGCAATATCATATCAGGTGCTGTGGAGCGGTAGACAAAAGCAAGGATAGAATTGGAAGAAAAACCAGTTCCTCAAACATCCTGACAGCAGTGAATGAGAAGTAGATGCTCACAATTTCCAATGTAGACTAGAGCAGATGATCGAATAGATATGGGAGGAAGGAGAAGGCAGAGAGAAATCCAAGGGGACTTCCAGGCTGCTAGCTTGGATGCCCAACAGAAAGGAATGCTTTTTATTGGGCAGAGAATACTGCAGGTGTC